AAGCCAAAATTGACAAACGGGATCTAATTAAACTAAAGAGCTTCTGTACAGCAAAACAAACTATCATCAGAGTGAACAGGCAACCTACAGAATGTGAGAAAATTTTTGCAATCTATCCATCTCACAAAGGGCTAATATCCAGAATCGACAAGGAACTCAAACAAATTTACAAGAAAAAACAACCCCATCAAAAAGTGGGTGAAGGATATGAACAGACACTTCTCAAAAGAAGATATTAATGTGGTCAACAAACATATGAAAAAAAGCTCATCATCACTGGTCATTAGAGAAATGCAAATCAAAACCACAATGAGATACCACCTCACAACAGTTAGAATGGCGATCACTAAAAAGTCAGGAAATAACAGATGCTAGAGAGAATGTGGAGAAATACGAAGGCTTTTACACTGTTTGTGGGAGTATAAATTAGTTCAACCATTGTGGGAGACAGTGTGGTGATTCCTCAAGGATCTAGAACCAGAAATACCATTTGATCTAGAACCAGCAAACCCATTACTGGGTATATACCCAACGGATTATAAATCATTCTACAATAAAGACACATACAATAAAGACACGTATGTTTATTGCAGCACTGTTCACAATAGCAAAGACTTGGAACCAACCCAAATGCCCATCAATGATACACTGGATAAAGAAAATGTGGCACATATACACCATGGAATACTATACAGCCATAAAAAATTATCGATAGAGTTCATGTCCTTTGCAGGGGCACGGATGAAGCTGTAGACCATCATTCTCAGCAAACTAACACAGGAACAGAAAACCAAACACTGCATGTTCTCCCTCATAAGTGGGAGTTGAACAATGAGATTACATGGACACAGGGAGAGGAATATCACACATTGGGGCCTTTCAGGGGGTGGGGGACTAGAGGAGGGATAACATTAGGAGAAATACCTAATGTAGATGACTGGTTGATGGGTGCAGCAAACCACCATAGCATGTATATACCTATGTAACAAATCTGCACATTCTGCACATATATCCCAGAACTTAAAGTATAATTTTAAAAAAAATTTAAAGAATTGAAAATATGATAAAACAAAAACAAAATAAAGGTATGGGGGAAAGTATATCTGGAAAGTAAACACAATATGAAAGCGAGGGCAATGATTCTGATATGAGACAAGGCATAACTGAAACAAAAAGCATTAACTGTGACAAAGAAGGATATTCTTTAATGCTAAAAGTCTCAATTCGCCATATACATTATAGTATCTACACACCAGAAATACAGCATCTGTTTCTATAAAGTCAAAACTACAAAAGATGCAGGGAGATGTAGAAGCCTGCTAATGATAGGAGATTTTAACACACCACTCTCAGTAACATACCATTCTCAGACTAAGTGGACCAATAATAAGAAAGGATACAGAAAGCCTAAACAACATAATCAATTTGCAAGCTTATGATTACATACTGAACTTAACAGCCTGAAAATGGAGAATATACATTATTCTCAACTGCAAATGAAACATTAACAAAAACTGATCGTTTATTAGGTTCCACTTCCCCCAAATGTCAATATGTTCCATAAAACTGAATGACTAAAATAGTATTCTCTGATTTTAATGCAATAAAACTAGAAATTATTAACAAATTTTTTTAAGTTAAAAGGCATTTTCATATGGAAACTAAGTAATTTACTATTATACAACTCTTGGAAGAAAAGGCAAGTAAAACAGAACTTACAAAAATTTTTAAATGATAATGAAAACATTATATATCAGAATCTATGGGCTATAGTTTGAATAACAACCAGAAAAAAATTTATAGCCTTAAACACTTTATTAACAAAATGAAAGAATACAAATAAATTCCCACCTCAAGAAGCTGAAAAAAAGAACAACAAAAAGAAAGTACCAAAAAGGAAATAATAAAAATAAAAGCAGTGATTAATTTTAAAAAGCAGTTCTTTTTTTTTTTTTGAGATAGAGTTTTGCTCTTGTTGCCCAGGCTAGAGTGCAATGGCACAATCTTGGCTCACTGCAACCTCTGCTACCTGGATTCAAGCAATTCTCCTGCCTCAGCCTCCCCAGTAGCAGGGATTATAGGCATGCACCACCATGCCCAATTAATTTTGTATTTTTAGTAGAGATGGGGTTTCACCATGTTGGTCAGGCTGGTCTTGAACTCCTGACCTGAGGTGGTCCACCCACCTCAGCCTCCCAAAGTGCTGGGATTACAGGCATGAGCCACTGCACCTGGCTGAAAAAAGTAGTTCTAATTAATAAATTAAAATTCTGCCTGCTGAAGAAAAATAACAAAATAAACATACCACTAGATAGTCAAAGAACTCATAAAGATACAAAATCAGAAATAACAATAGTAAAACAACCAACATAAGAGAAGAAATCCTACAACATTCCTTCACAGACTTTTTTTTTTTTTTTGAGGCAAAGTCTGCACCCAGGCTGGAGTGCAGTGGCACGATTTCAGCTCACTGCAATCTCTGCCTCATGGGTTCAAGCAATTCTGCCTCAGCCTCCCAAGTAGCTGGGATTACAGGCACCTGCCATCACGCCTGGCTAATTTTTCTATTTTTAGTACAAACTGGGTTTCACTATGTTGGCCAGATGGGTCGTGAACACTTAACCTCAGGTGATCTGCCCACCTCAGCCTCCCAAAGTGCTGGGGATACAGGCACGAGCCACTGTGTCCACCCACTTTAGAGACACGTCTACAAATAAATTTGAAAACCTACAAGCAAGGGACAATTTCCAAACTTGATCCCATTAGAGACACAAAGTTTAAACAGACTCATTTCCATAAAAGAAATGAAGTTATCAAGAAAGTACTCCACAGAAAACACCATGCTTCACTAGTTTCACAGAGCAATCCTACCAAGGATTCAAAGACCAAACAGCCTCAATGCCGTACAAGTTGTTCCAGAGCTTTGGAAACAAAGGAAAATTTCTTAATTCTTTTTTATGAAGCAAGTAAAATACAGACACATAAACAAAAGGAAAAAAGAAAGAAAACGGCAACTAATATCACCTTTGATTACTGATGCAGAAGCTTTAAATAAAATATTAGCAAACACAATTCAACATCATGGTGAGAAAATGATACACAAAGAGCATGAGAGACTTACTCTAGGAATGCAAGGTTGGTTCAATCCATTAATATAGTACATCATAGCCACATCTCTAAGAAGAAAAATCATGATTATCTCCATAAATGCTGGACAAAAAAAGCCTTCAACAAAACTTAAGATCCATTTCTGATTAAAAAAAAAAAAAAAAACTCAAGAAAATAGGAATTCACGCATACTTTCTTAGTATGACAAACAAATAAACATATATAATTTGCATTACAGTCAGAATCTTATTTTTAATAGAGAAACACTAAAGGCATTTGCACTTGTATCATGAATCAGACATTCTCTATAAACTATTTAGCACTGTATTAGTGGTATTTGTGGAGGCAATTTTAAGAAAAATCAATTAGAGGCATCAGAATTGGAAATGAAGGTGTAGAACCACCTTTACTTGCAGGTGATATGATCATACACCTGGAAAACCCTAATGAATCAATGATCTTTAGATGGCAGAGAAACAGGTACTCTCAAACATTGCTGCTGAGTATCAAAATTGGCATATTCCTTATGGATGGGAATTCAGTAACATCTAACAAAACTACATGTGTTTACTTTTTAACTCAGCAATCCCACTTCTAGGAATACCGGACATTAATTCTCCAGTAACACAAAGCTATCATTCACTGTGGCACTGTTTATTTACAAAACATTGAAAACAAGCTAAATCTCCATAGATAGGAGAGCAGCCAAATAAACTACAGTACATCCACACAATGGTGTATTATGCAGAATGAGAATGATCTCTTTGATATAGAAAGATTTCCAGGATATATTTTAAGTGAAAAATGCAAAATTTAAAGGAGTATGTATCGAAAGTACCCCACTCTTTGTGTAAGAAAGGGGGAAATGAGAAAATATATATCTGTCTATGTATATGAGTGAGACTAGTTACCTATAGAGTATGGAACAGAATAAAATAGAAAGGCTGAGGAAATAGAAGGGGGGAAATGACACCTTTCTGAATATATCTTTATGTACATCTTGACTTTTGAAACCATGTCAATGTTTTGCCTAGACAAAATCAACAAGGACGGGAGGAAAACCCTAAAATTGAATACAAACAGAAACAAAGGAATCAAACCATGTTTCAAGTGAATAACATAACCACACTCTAACAGAGAAGAGGAGAATTAACCTAAGTAACTTCTGAATATAGTATTTGAACTAAAGACAAAAAAACTCTAAGCAAGTGCTGAGCTCTAATCAGTAAGATTCTTTTTTTCAAAGGTATGGCTTTGCAATTCTGAAACTACTTTCTAAGCATTACAGGGTTTAACACGTAAGAAAATATATTGTGAATAAAATGGAAGTCAAGAGTTACAAATTTGGAAAGAGAAAATAAATCCTGTGTGGTGTGGCACTGTAACTAGAAGTATAAATAGAGACACACACCCACACACACTCTTATCTAGATACCCATGCACATATATACACATATATGTTCATATATCTACATTCACAAAAAATCATACATTCATGTTCATTGTTTTTTTCATCTAAGCAATCTTAGCCTTAAGACTCATATAATTAGATCTGAAGAAATGAAATTTCCAAATTTCTAAATCTAAATTTCAAAGATATTGGCTATGCGATCCATAGTGTAGGAAAGTGTTACCATAGAAACATCTATTAGAAAAGAGGGCTTTTAAACAGAAGAGCCAGGCTAATACTTGAAGAGAAAAAATTTACTCATATATGTGACTGGATCATGAAAACAGGAAAAATATAATATTAATCCTAATAAATATTTAAATGTACCCATCTCAGATTATTTTCATGTTAGTAAGAGTAATCACATTATCTTTTATAAAAGTTGCAAAGATGCAAATGTTATCTGGTATTTCAAAAGGAAATGTATTAAAAACCACTGTACCTTACAGTAAAATCATACGAGCAAGAGGCCAGCACAGAAGCATGAAACGGCGAAAACTAAAAAAAAAAAAGAAAAGAAAAAAACCCTTTTTGAAGTCAGCTGTGATAATAATACTGCTTTCTAAGATCATTCCATAAACATTATAATAAATTTAAGTTGAGTCAGAGCTGTCACTTAAAATTATGCTTTTCCAAAGCATATATGCTTTAATTTGAGGCCAAAATCTTCTGGCCTTTTAAGTATCCATCTTCGGGAAAAATATTTTTATATTCTCCAAAGAAAATTATCCCTCAAGCTTTTTAGAACTTACTTAGAACAAAATATTCCCAAAATGTTGCTATTCTGGAAAAATTAAATACAATTTCATACTGGCTATCCAAAAATGATTCTTATAGGCCAGGTGCGGTGGCTCCCACCTGTAATCCCAGCACTTTGGGAGGCTGAGGAGGGCAGATAACCTCAGGTCAGGAGTTCAAGACCAGCCTGGCCAACATGGTTTAATAGAAACCCTGTCTCTACTAAAAATACAAAAACTAGTCAGGCATGGTGGCATATGCCTGTAATCTCAGTTATTCGGGAAGCTGAAGCAGGTGAATTGCTTGAACCCAGGCGGTGGAGGTTGCAGTGAGCTGAGATCATGCCACTGCACTCCAGCCTGGGCGACAGAGAGACTCTGGCTCAAAAAAACCAAAAACAAACAAACAAACAAAAATGATCCTTACAAATATAAGGGATTTAATTATATAATAGTACAAATATATAATTATATCATTTACCAATTTTACAAATATATAATTACTATAATCACAAGTTATCAAAATAAACATTTAAATGTTAAATAAAAACACCTTTAAGATATTTTTATGTTATTTGTATATTACAGCTAATGGAAAATGATATCAAGGATAAAAAGCAAGTTTAAAGACAAGTAACGTCTTCTAGATGAGTAAAAATGTACTTAATAAGTTGACCTTTGCAATTACCTTTCTTCAGTGTTTGTCTTACCAGCACTTTAAACAGTTAAATACACATATGTAACTACATTTGACCAGCACTTAGTTTGCAAAGTACTTTCACTACATTACCTTATTTCATTCTCAGAATCACTCTGAAATATACATAGAGCATATTTTTCAACTGCTAAAACTTGTCCACATAAAACAAATTTTTATTAAAAAATAAAACAGCACTGTGTCTCCTATGTTGCATTGCAGCCAGCGAAACTTAAAATATTAACTTAACTAAAAATTTAGAATTTTTGGCCAGGCATGGTGACACAGCCTGTAATCCCAGCACTTTGGAAGGCTAAGGCAGGTGGATCACTTGAGGTCAGGAGTTCGAAACCAGCCTGGACAACACTGTGAAACCCTGTCTCTACTAAAAATACAAAAAAATTAGTGGGGCATGGTGGCACACACCTGTAGTCCCAACTACTCAGGAGGCTGAGGCAGGAGAATTGCTTGAACCCAGGAGGCAGAGGTTGCAGTGAGCCGAGATCGTGCCACTACACTCCACTACAGGGCAAGACTGCATCTCAAAAAAAAGAAAAACAAATTTAGAATTTTTAAAATAGTAGGAATACTGTAATTATCTTATTAAAATAATCAATAAGGTACTTTTTTACCCTTAACGTAAAAAAAAAAAAAAAAAAAGGATGAAATTGGGAGATGTCACTTAATAAGATGTTTTCCAGTCATTTAGCAGAACCTGCCTAAATGAAAGCCAGGAAACTAACCTAAGTCATCTTATAACCCAGAGAAATTTACTGGGACCATCATTAAAAATTTACCTCATCCTCTGCTGTTCAGAGTAGAAAACTTTCTATATCCCAAACATCTGTGAACAGTCATGTATGTTATCATGTTAGGAAAAAGAATTAACCATCTCTTTATACCTGTTTCAACAAAGAGACTCTCACTGATTAGAAACTTATAAAGAACATAATACTAAAAGTGAATTACTATAGTTAAAAAAATAATATTAAAGGAAATAACAGATTGGGGGTGAAAGAATGAGAAAAAGATTTTTATTTAACGTTAAGTATTGAATGTCTACATTGCCCAAATTCATTCAATAATTATTCAAATATTCTTAACTAATTTTAGCTTTCAATATTAATTAACTAGGTAACAAAAACACATATAAAAAAGAATTAGTAACTCCAATCCCTAAACCCAGAACACTTCTTAATATATGCTTCATTGATTATATTTATGTAATTTTATTCTACATATAAAAGAAAAGATGAAAACTTACTTTCACCCTCCTAATAGCATAGGTATGACCAAGAAGTTCAAACACTGGTTGTCGTACATTCCTTAAGTCCCAGCCTCTCAAACTACAGTCAACCGCACCTGTCACCAGCAAATTCTAAAAACAATTCAGAGAAACATAAACTGTGACATCTTTGCAATTAAACAGTATGCAGGCTTTCCTACTAGAAACAACATCTACTTTCTGATAATTATTTAATATGAACCCAAGAGCCATTTTTGAGAAGTTGTATAACAAGTACAGACAGGAATCAACATAGACATTAATAGCAAAAAATTAGTATGACTTGTGAGAAAAAGAACTCAATATGCTTTATGTACACGATGGAACACTACACACAGCTGGAAAAGGCATAGTTCCAAATAGCATTGTGGATTTTCTAATCCACCTTTACAAGTGGCAGTAAGTACACAGGGGATTAAAATTTTTATCTGACAAATGAGCCCAGCTTTCTCTTCAAATGGTTTTCCCTGGAATCCCAGCACCTTGGGAGGCACAGGTGAGAGGATTACTTGAGGCCAGGAACTTGAGACCAGCATGGGCAATAAAGCAACACCCTGTCTACCCAAAAAATTTTAAAACATTAGCCAGGCATGGTAACACACACCTGTAATTTTAGCTACTTGAGAGGTTGAGTGAGGCAGGAGGACTGTGTGAGCCCAAAAGTTAGAGGCTACAGTGTGCTGTGATCACCCCACTGTACATCAGCATGGATGACAGAGCAAGACCCTGCCTCTAAAAAAAAAATAAAAATTTAAAAAAGGTTTTCAAGACTGGGTGCGGTGGTTCACTCCTATAATCCCAGCACTTTGGGAGGCCGAGGCCGGTGGATCACTTGATCCTAGGAGTCTGAGACCAGCCTGGGCAACAGTGAGACCTCGTCTCTAAAAAACAAACAAACAAAAAGGGTTTCAACATACTCTGAGGTTTTTCCAGGCATTAAAAGGCAAGAGGTCTGTTCATTTAGGTACATCTGAAAAAGCAAAGGCTATGAATTAAATTTTTCCATGTTCTCTAAATCTAAATTAATCATTGTTTCCAACTCTCTTGGACCACAATTCTTAATACAATATCTAATCATATCCAAGAATGTAATCAAATAGTGGTGAGTCTCTTATCTATTCTGGCTTTACAAATTCTGCTATCTAGAGCCCCAAGTGAACCCAGAGGTCCTAGGTGAATAGGTCAAGTGCTGGGTCCACACTCAGTCCACCCCACATAACCCAGAACAGCAAAGGATTTAAGTTGGTGCAAAAGTAGTTGCGGTTTTTGCATTGAGAGTAATAGCAAAAACTGCAATTACTTTCGCACCAAGCAAACATTGTCTGACTATGTTGGGTTTTAGTGTAAGCTAATTTGAAGAAAAGTTTCAGTTATTAGAAAATAAATTTTGTAAACCATTCTCAAATGTCTATCAGCATCTTTGTTTAGAATTCCCAAACATCTAATATACAGGCCATAATTAATTTTCCAATATGAAAAATTCATTTATGACTTTGAAACTATAGTCATCAGCATTGAAATGTTTCGATTAATATCATTGCATATGTACTTATATTAATAACTTATTTTACTTATTTTTATTTAAAGAACTCTGTCAGTACAATGTTCTTTTAGCTTTAATTAATTTAAAACTGGGAAAAAACAAAGCATATATTTTATGTATTTGTCACGGTCAACAGACTACTTCAGGGACATAAATACAGTCATGCATCACTTAATGATGGGGATATGCTCTGAGAAATGTGGCATCAGGTAATTTCATCTTCGCGTGAACATCACGGAATGTACTTATACAAACCTAGGTGGTACAGCCTACTATACACCCAGGCTAGATGAAACAGCCCATTGCTCCTAGGCTACAAGCCTGTCCAGCATGTTACTGTACTGAATATTGTAGGCTACTGTAATACAATGGTAAGGATTTCTGTATCTAAACACAGAAAAGGTATAGTAAAAATATAGTATGGAAGATAAAAAAATGGTAGTAGGGTACTTACCATGAATGGAGCTTACAAAACTGGAAATTACTCTGGGTGAGTCAGTGAGTGAATGGGAAGGCCTAGAACATTACACTAAATTTATTTTTTTAATTTCCTTTCTTCAATAATAAATTAACCTTAGCTTACTGTAATTTTTTGCTTCATAAATTTTCTATTTTAAAAAAAATTTCTTTTTGTTGTTGTTATTTTGAGATAGAGTCTTGCTCTGTCATCAGGCTGGAGTGCAGTGGCATGATCTTGGCTCACTGCAACCTCTGCCTCCCAGTTCAAGCGATTCCCCTGCCTCAGCCTCCCGAGTAGCTGGGACTACAGGTGCCCGCCACCACGCCTGGCTTTTTTTACTTTTTGATTCTTCATAATAACAAAACTTAAAACACAAACACATTGTAGAGTTATACAAAAATATTTTCTTTCTTTATATCCTTATTTTATAAGCTTTTTTCTATTTAAATTTTTTTATTTTAAACAAAACTGAGACACACATGCATTAGTTTAGGGCTACACTGAGTCAGGATTATAAATATCACTGTCTTCTACTTCTACATCTAGCCCTGCTGGAAAGTCTTCGGGGGCAATAGGAATTTTTCAGCTCCATTATGTCTTAAGGGCCCTGTCATATATGCAATCTGTCATTGGCTGAAATGTTGTTACGCAGTGCATGACTGTAGTATATTAACACATATTTAATCCATTTCTATCTCTGATTCATATGTTCATGTGGTTAACTGAAGCTTTAAAAAAGTTGCACATGGACACTTATCTTACAGAGGCATGAAAATTGGTTAGGCTTAAAAAGGAAGATGAAACAGAAAAATTTAAAAACTGATGGACTGTCAAATTAAAAATCAAATTACAAATAGTTCAACAGCCTGACTAGCAAAGTGAAAAAGAAATAAAAGCAAAAGATGATACAAAATTGCAGGGTTAAGAGCAATAAAGAAAAACATTACATAAATTGGTAAGGCAGCTTCCCAAAACAAACAAGTAAGGCTGCACTGTTGAACTTTGAAAATTTCTGTTTCTTATTTTGCCGTTTTATGAGCACTTATATCCAATTAATGCTAATGCAGGTCAGTCACAATCATTAATTAGAAAGGAAAGGGACAGAATTTAACTTAATGGTCCAGGAACACCACCAAAGTCCACATAAACAAAGATAAATAAAATTTAGAACATTTTAACATTAGGAAGGACAGCAGCTTAGGATAGAGCCATACACTGTACCTCACTGTATTTACACCAGTCACAACTCAAGATTTCTGCCTGATGTGCGGGAATCACGATTCTGACTCCTGCTGCCTTCACATCCCATATTCTCAGAGTCTGATCACCTGGTAAAAAGGAAGACTTGATCATTTCCCATCACACCACTTGAATGCGCAGTGACATAACGTGTTCATAATAATAAGTCAAGCAAAAATACACTGCTTTCAGTGTTAGGATATTGCCACCTTTAGACTTATTTTTTTAAACCATAATAATGCATAGGAACTATTCAAATGAAGGAATACAAAAGTGACGTTGCACTGTGATAATGCTTTTAGGAGGAAAATTTGAATCTCACAGAGATAAACACAATATTGACTAATCACACACCTGCTGCTTTTTTCTTTGAGGCAGGAAAGGCCCTGAAAATTCTTGTATTAGGAAATAAAGTGATCACTCTGTACCCGCATATTGTACTAGAAACCAACAATAGAGTAACAATTTTACTGCTAAAGGCGGGCAAAGTCTACCAAGCCAAAATGGAGAATTTTTTACTTTTCATTGTCAAGTACGCTATATGTTAATGGGCCAGCTATAGGTGTACTTTTCTCCTCAAAAAAAAAAAAAAAAAAAAAGCTAAAAAATTGTATTTATTTATTTATTTTGAGATGTGGTCTCGCTGTCACCAGGCTGGAGTACAGTGGCATGATCTTGGCTCACTGTAACCTCTGCCTCCTGGATTCAAGTGATTCTCCTGCCTCAGCCTCCCGAGTAGCCAGGACTACAGGTGCGCACCACCACGCCCAGCTAATTTTTGTATTTTTAGTAGAAACAGGGTTTCACCATGTTGGCCAGGATGATCTCGATCGCCTGACCTCGTGATTGGCCTACCTCAGCCTCCCAAAGTGCTAGGATTACAGGCGTGGGCCATAGCGCGTGGCCTATTTAATATTTTTTTGAGACAGAGTCTGGCTCTCTTGCCCAGGCTGGAGTGCAGTGGCACGATCTTGGCTCACTGCAACCTCCACCTCCTGGGTTCAAGCAATTCTCATGCCTCAGCCCCCCAAGTAGCTGGGATTACAGATGTGTGCCACCACACCCAGCTAATTTTTGTATTTTTAGTAGAGATGGAGTTTCACTCAGGTGCGGTGGCTCACACCTGTAATCCCTACACTTCGGGAGGCCAAGGTGGGTGGATCACCTGAGGTCAGGAGTCTGAGACCAACCTGGCCAACATGATGAAACCCTGTCTCTACTAAAAATACAAAAAATTAGCTGGGCATGGTGGCAGATGCCTGTAATCCCAGCTACTCGGGAAGCTAAGGCAGAAGAATCACTTGAACCTACGAGACAGAGGTTGCAGTGAACCGAGATTGTGCCACTGCACTCCAACCCAGACAACAAGAGTGAAATTCTGTCTCAAAAAAAAAAAAAAAAAAAAAAGAGTGAGAGAGACAGGGTTTCACCATGTTGGCCAGGCTGGTCTTGAATTTCTGACCTCAGGAATCCTCCTGCCTCAGCCTCCCAAAATGCTGAGATTACAGGTGTGAGCCACCATGCCTGGCCAACAAGCTAAAAACATGTAAAGATTACACTTTGCATTATTACAAAAATAGTTTGCATTACCTAACTGCACAGTCACCTGATTAAATGTTTTACATGTTGCTTGCCTCCAATTTTTCTAAACTATAGGAAACAAAAGATGACAAGATCAATAAAATCCAGAATATATACAGCTACCTCAAAAGTAAAATACAAACAACTGACAATGGGAGAAAACCCAGTTCCATGTAATGAAAAGCACGCAGTTTCTGGCATTTTACCAGGTGGGGTCATGAATGCCATTTTGTGGTTCTAGGTCCCTGCATAGGATATGTAATATCTCTGAGACTGATTCATTTCTAAAGGAGACATCAGAATGCCCAACATGCAGCACTGTCTAAGAATTTCACCAAGTTTCTGTAAAGCACCTGGCATGGTCTCTAACACATAGTAGACACTGCCAAACATGGTATATAAAAGTGCTAAAATTTTAAAGTATCTTTTACTTATCTACATGTATTTTCCTATATTCCCAATTCTAAATCATATATTGTTAAGCTAAATTTAGCTATCCTAGGCAACTTTTTCCTGGCTTCTTTGGAAGTTGCTTAAGAAAGATAAGAAATGTGTTGGCAGTAATGAAATGCAGGGGTTAAGAACGGGGCGTTTGGAGTTCCCGAGCTTGGTTCTAATCCAGCTCAATCATTTGGTGGTCACTGATGCTTAATCAAGTTACTTCGCTGATCTTCAGTTTGCTACCTACAATAAAATAACTGCCTTGTAAGGCTGAAATGAGACAAGGTAGTAGCGTGAGTACGGTGCCAGATGTGTAGTAAGCTCTCAATATGTGTTTTTTTTAAATGAGAAAAAATACCCATGATTACAAGTTATTTCTGTCACCCCAGTAATAACAACGTGAATAATAGTTAATACTTATTGAGTGCTTCCAATGTGCCACCACATACTGTTCTAAGCATTTTATACATATTTTTTCTAAAAACATCACAACTACATAAAGTAGGAATTTGGAGATATAAAAAGTAATTGTATAGTACTATACAAATGAGGAACATAGTACTATACAAATGCAGCATATAGAGATGAAATAACTTACCCAGGATAGTAAGCAGCAGAACCAGGACCTGGACCCAGAACTCAGGGAGTCTGGGTCCCCAGCATGTGCACTTTACAGCTTTACAACTATGCTACACTGCTGCCTCCTTGTGTTGCTGGAGGACAAATGCCATACAATCAATATTGGCTAATTCTGGAGGAATTATTTTAATTCTTTTATTTCCAGGCTGGAGTGCAGCAGTGCAATCTCGGCTCACTGCAACCTCCACCTCCCAGACTCAAGCAATCCTCCCATCTCAGCCTCCCGAGTAGCTGGGACTACAAGCGCACACTCCCATGCCCCACTAATTTTTCTATTTTTGGTTTTGCCATGTTGGCCAGGCTGGTCTCCAGCTCCTGAGCTCAAGCAATTCACCTGCCTCAGCCTCACAAATTGCTGGGATTACAGGTGTGAGCCACTGCATCCAGCCCTATGTTACTTTTTCTTTAAATTGGAGAAAAATCTGTTATATTTTCAATACCACTTCCCATCTCCCTGCCCAGAGACCACAACAGTCATGAATGTGGTCCACAGCCCTTTAGTCTGCGTTTTGGTAATACTTCTATTACATTTTTATGGATCCACAAATACGTACTACTACTGCTTTGTATGCAGGATTTTTTTCCTTTTTTGATTTAAAAATATTGTCTTATTACATTAAAAAAAGGTTGAAAACCACTTTGATAGACGAGAGTAACAAACATTTTTGGACCTAGCTAAGGATGGTACCTCTGTCCACAGCACCTCATTCCTTGTTCAGACTACAGATGACAGGCCAAATGGGGGTACTTGGGATTTTTCTGAACTACAACTGAAAAATAATGTCAGTCCCTCTTCTATGGCAGAATTGACAAGTTACAAAATTCAGGACCCACTAGTGACAACATATCTCATTGTGAAAAACAAATGATGAGTTTGAAAGTAACAAAAGGAAACTGTTCAGAATTGGTACAGGTTAGAGTTTCAAATAACTTCAAGGGCCCTCATTATAATCACTGTCTGTGGTCTAGCCACCAGTCAGTAGAATTTGCTTCCAGAATGCCAAATAGCTTTGATGCAATGATCTCTCATGATTTTCTCCAGCCTTCAGTGTGTAATGCCGGGTGACGTGGATGTCTAGTGTTTGGCCTGCCCAGAAATACCCTTTTTCTAGGAATATCATATGTCCTTTTCTCACCAAGTGATTCTATAAAGACTTACACCTCAACACAACTGACTGACCAAAGGTAGGTCCAGGCAAGACCAACTACAGTACCTCAGTCCCTGCTCTGACTACAGCTGAAAGGTCAAAGGTAGGTACTTGGGATTTTTCTGAACTATAACTGAAAAAATAATGTCTGTCCTTCTCTTATGGTAGCATTTACAACTTAAAAAATTCAGGAGGCCGGACATGATGGCTTACACCTGTAATCTCAGCACTTTGCGGGATCACTTGAGCCCAGGAGTTCGAGATCAGCCCGAGCAACACAGTGAGATTCCATTTCTACAAAAAATTTAAAATTTAAATTTAAAATTTAAAAATTTAAAAATTAGCCAGGCATGGTGGTGCACACCTGTAGTCCCAGCTACTCTGGAGGTTGAGGTAGGAGAACTGCTTAGGTCCGGGAGGTCGAGGCTGCAGTGAGCCATGATCGCACCACTGCACTCCACCCTGGGTGACAGAACAAGACCCTGTCTCAAAAACGTAAAAATATGGCCAGGCACAGGAGCTCATGCCTGTCATCCCAGCACTTAGGGAGGCTAAGGCAGGATCACTTGAGACCAGGCGTTTGAGACTAGCCTGGCCAACATGGCAAAACCCTGTCTCTACTAAAAATACAAAAATAAATAAATAAATAAATAAATAAATAAATAAATTAGCCAGGCACGGTGGCACACGCCTGTAATCCCAGCTACTCAGGACACCGGGGCACAATAATTACTTAAACCCCAGAGGTGGAGGTTGCAGTGAGCTGAGATCACACCACTGAACTCCAGCCTGGGCAATGGAGTGAGACTCTGTCTCAAAAAATAAAAATTATATATACTATAATTTTTTAACTATTTTAAACTATACTATATTTTTATATATATATAATTTTTATTTTTAATTTTTATTTTATTTTAAAATATATATATAAAAATACAGAAAAAAATATATATGTAGCTTTGACGAAATAATCTCTCATGACCTTCTTCAGCCTTCAGTGTATATGTGTGTGTGTGTATATAAATATAGTGAATTTACATACATATATATATATATATATATATATAAATTCAGAAGCCACTCACTGGTGGCCATGTGTCTCATTGTGTAGAGAAAGCCAGTCCACAGAGTCAAGTCAACAAGTAGAGAAAAGTCCAGATGAGAGACAGAATGTGTCCTGGGCCTTTCAAGCAGCCCTTCCTTTTCTGGAGTACGCTTTTTAACAAATTTCACAAAGATCTAACATAGTTCCAGTTCTATCACTTGTAGGCAAAGGAAAT